ACCCCAGTTTCACCTCTCAAGGGAAGACTCCACCCCTCCTCTCTGGAAAACTTTAAAAGCTCCCTCTGTAAGAATGGGGAAAAAAACCACTCTCCATTCTTGTTCTCCCATTAGCTCCCTCTCTTCCCAAGAAATACCAACTACCAGGATTGGGAATGCCTTGGGTCCCCTTCTAGGCAGCCAGCCAAAGCCTTAGCCAAGGGCAGTGACACTAGAAGAGAGCCTGGCCTCAGAAAGAAGGTTGTGGAGGCAGGGAGAAGTGATGGGATAAAGGGTGTAAGGGGGGTGGGATATCAGTCAATCAGTAAGCATTTTTTTAAACAAATTTATTTATTTTTAGTTTTCAATGTTTACTTCCACAAGATTTTGAATTCCACATTTTCACCCCATCTTGCCCCTCCCCCACCCCAAAATGGCACGCATTCTGAATACCTCTTCCCCTAGTTTGCCCTCCCTTCTATCTCCCCCCCCCCGCCCCATTCTCTTATCCCCTTCCCCTTCTATTTTCTTGTGGGGCAGGATAGATTTCTGTACCTCATTTCCTATATTTCTTATTTCCCAGTTGCATGTGGAAACACATTTTTTTAAAAACATGTATTTTTAAAACTTTGGGTTCCAAATTTTCTCCCTTCCTCCCACCCCACCCACCCTCATTGAAAAGGCAAGCAAGTCAATACAGGCCATACATGTGCAGTTATGCAAAACACTTCCATAGTAGACATGTTGTGAAAAACTAACTCTATTTCCCTTAATCCTGTCCTGCCCCCCCATTTATTCTGTTCTTTCTTTTGACCCTGTCCCTCCTCAGAAGTACTTCCTTCTGATTACCCCTTTCCCAATCTGCCCTTCTCTCAGTCATCCCCCTGCTCTCTTGTCCCCTTCCTCCCTATTTTCCTGTAGGTTAAGACAGATTTCCATACCCAATTGAGTGTGTATGTTATTCCTCCTTAAGCCAAATCCTATGAGAATAAGATTCCCTCATTTCCTCTCACCTTCCCTTGTTTCCCCTCCACTGTAAGAACCTTTTCTTGTGTTTTGTGCAAGATAATGTACCCCATTCTACCTCTCCCTTTCTCCTTCTAGTATAATCCTCTCACCCTTAATTTTATTCTCCAGATATCACCCCTTCATCTTCAACTCACCCTGTGCCCTCTATCTATCTATCTATACATACATATAATTTTTCCCCTCCTACTACCCTAATACTGACAAAGGTCTCATGAGTTATAAATATCATCTTTCCATGCAGGAATGTAAACAGTTCAGCCTTAGTAAGTCTCTTATGATTTCTCTTTCCTGTTTACCTCTTCATGTTCCACTTGAGTCTTGTATCTGAAAGTCAAATTTTCTATTCAGCTCTGGTCTTTTCATCAAAATGCTTGAAAGTCCTCTATTTCACTGAATGACCATTTTTTCCCCTGAAGGATTATACTCAGTTTTGCTGGCTAGGTGATTCTTGGTTGTAATCCTATCTCCTTTGCCCTCCAGAATATATTCCATGCCCTGCGGTCCTTTAATGTAGAAGCTGCTAAATCTTGTGTTATCCTGATTGTGTTTCCACAGTACTTGAATTGTTTCTTTCTGGCTGCTTGTAATATTTTCTCCTTGACCTGGGAACTCTGGAATTTGGCTACAATATTCCTAGGAGTTTTCCTTTGGGGATCTCTTTCAGGGGAGATCGTGGATTCTTTCAATTTCTATTTTGCCCTCTGGTTCTAAAATATCAGGGCAGTTTTCCTTGATAATTTCTTGAAAGATGATGTCTAGGCTCTTTTTTTGATCATGGCTTTCAGATAGTCCAATAATTTCTACATTCTCTCTCCTGGATCTATTTTCCAGGTCAGTTGTTTTTCCAATGAGATATTTCACATTGTTTTCTAATTTTTCATTCTTTTGGATTTGTTCTACTGTGTCATGATTTCTCATAAAGTCACTATCTTCCAATTGCTCTATTCTAATTTTTAAGGAAGTATTTTCTTCAGTAAGCTTTTGGACTTCCTTTTCCATTTGGCCAATTTTGCTTTTTAGGGCATTCTTCTCCTCATTGGCTTTTTGGACCTCTTTTGCCATTTGGGTTAGGCTATTTTTTAAGGTGTTATTTTCTTCAGTATTTTTGGGTCTCCTTTAGCAAGCTGTTGACTTGTTTTTTCATGATTTTCTTGCATCACTTTCATTTCTCTTCCCAGTTTTTCCTCTACTTCTCTTACTTGCTTCTCAAAATCCCTTTTGAGCTCTTCCAAGACCTGAGACGGATTCATATTTTTCTTGGAGGCTTTGGATATGAGAGCTTTGACTTTGTTGTCTTCTTCTGGTTGTATGTTTTGATCTTCTTTTTCACCAACATCAGATAATATAGTCTGACTCTTTTTGCGAGGTTTGCTCATGATCCCAGCCAACTACTTGAGTTTTAAACTCTTTGTTAAGGTAGAAGTCTGCTTCCAGTGTGGAGAATATACTGTCCCAAGCTTTGGGGGTCTGTATAGCTGTTTTCAGGGATACTTCTAGGCACCTGTAAATTTTCAGTTCTTCCAAGGTGCTATGATAAGGGTCGAGGTGTTTACTGTTTTCCTGGCCTGAGCTCTGGTCTTTGAGTGACCGGCCACAAGCAGTCTTTTCTCTCCTGGAACTGTGAGAAGGGTTTCCTCTCCAAGGCCACTACAAGCTCCACGGTACCAGTGTTCCTCCTCACCCCAGGACCGCCACCCAGAACTGTGACCCAGATCCAAACACGGGCAAAGCAAGAGATTCCTGCCTCAGCACCAGCAAAGAGATCCCTGCAGTGCCCCTGTGATCAGCCACTTGATTCCCCCTCAGTCTGTGGGCCGGAAGCTCAGGACACAGCCACCGCCCTGGCATCAGCGCTCTGTGCTCTGGAACTGGCTCTGACCTAGCTCTTATCTCACTGCAAAAACAGACTTTTCCCACTGACCTTCTAAGATGTCTTTGACATTAGTGGATTGAGGAGTCTGGAAGCCGCCACAACTGCCTGTGATTCAGTCCTCTGAGGCCTGCCCTAGATTCGCTGAGGCCTGCGCGCCCACGCCGTGCTGTACTCAGCTCCCAGCTGGGCACGATATGCCTTTCTGATCAATCTTCCAGGCTGTCTTGGGCTGGAAATTTGTTTTACTCAGTCTTTTTGTGGGTTCTGCTGCTTTAGAATTTGTTTAGAGCCATTTTTTATGGGTATTTGGAGGGGTTTGGAGGAGAGCTCAAGCAAGTCACTGCTTTCACACCGCCGTCTTGGGTCCGTCCCAATCAGTAAGCATTTATTGAGTGCTTACTGTGCTCAGCACTGGGGATACAAAAGTAGACAGGAAAGACTTCATAAAGAGGTGGCCCTTGAACTGAATCTTGAAGGAAATCACTTTATTTCCTAGAAACAAAAATGAGGAGGGAGTATATTCCAGGCCCAGAAGACAGGAGAATGAGGAGGAGGCGTAGTCAGACAGGTAAGAGACGAACCAGGAGGGAGGAGTATCCAAAAAAGCCATAGAGGAGAGAGTATCCATGAAGAGAGGGCAGTAAAAAGTGTCAGATACAGCTGAGAGGTCAAGCAGGATGAATTCTGAGATCTGGCATTTAGAGATCCTTATTCACTTTGTGGAGAGCAGCTTCAGTTAAGTGTTGAGGTTAGAAGCCACATTAGAAAGGGGTGGAGGCACCAAATGTAGGCAGCTTTTGCAAGGATTTTGGTTGAAAAAGCAAGAAGAGATATAATAGTAGGAGATGATGTGATCTTTGTTGTCCAGTTGAGTCAGTCATGTCCAACTCCTAGTGACCCTGTGGGCCATACTTTTCATGGTTTGTTTGTTGTTGGTTTTTTGGGGGGTTTTTTTTTGGCAAAGATACTATAATGGTTTGCCATTTCCTTCTCCAGGGGATTAAATCAAACAGAAATTAAGTGACTTGCCATCAGTCACACAGCTTGTAAGTATCAGGCTGGATTTGAACTCAGGTCTTTCTGACCCTAGGCCTAGTGCTCTACACACACACACACACACACACACACACACACACACACACAGAGAGAGCAGAGAAGGAACTAGTAGACAAGAAATTGAAGATTAGAGATGAGGATATAGTGGAAGTGATTACTGGAGAAGGGAGAAAATGTTATTAAGGATGCTTATAAAAGAGTCGGCCTTGACAAGAAGAGAAGTTTCTTATTAGAAACTGTCGCAAAGAAGAAAATGATAGAATGTAAAGAGATCAAGATAAGGGATCAGAAAACCTGGAGTCCCAGCTCTGCCATTAGCTGTATAACCATGCACAAAGTTTCTTCTCCTCTGGGCCTCAGTTTCTTCATCTGTAAAAGATCATGTGATCATAGACTGACACCTAAAAGAGTGTCTAGTTCAAACACCTCATTGAGGCTTATGGACTAAATAACTGGTCTCTGCTAGTTAAGACTTGCATTTTGTTATCTGTGATGTGGGGGGGGGGCAGGGAGGGGGAGGAGGCTAAAAGGAGGAGGGCTACAATAGATATTCCAGGAGACCAGGGGCCCGTGGTGCCATGGTGGAACGTATCAGGAGCCTGGGACCCCAGGACCCAGAAATCACCACTTCCCCAGGGAGGGAAGAAGAGTCCGGTCATAAACAGAGGATCGTAGATTTGCAGCTAGAAGGCACCTCTGAGGTCCTCTACTCTGCCTGCCACATTTAATAAATGCCAAATGACTATATTTCCCCCCCCTCCATTTTATAAATGAGGAAATTCAGGCCCAGAGAGCAAAATATTGAAATAACATTAATTTCTAAAGAACTAAATTAAAGAGCAATGAGATTAGTTGAGTGACACATGACAGGTGTAAACAGGCTTCAGAATATTCCCAAGTCACGGTGCAAATTAAGCTCCTTGGGCTTCAAGTAAGAGCAACAAAGACTTCCCTCCCCTGCACCGTGTTCCACGTCCCTTGTCCCCTCCTTCCCTCCTCCTCCTCGGAACCCCAGACTAACGGTGTCAGCTGCCGGGAGACCAGTGTTCCCATAGCACCGCCCCCCGCACCCATCCGTGACCGGCGGTAACTTCCGGCTCGGGAGGACGAGCCTGATCGGACTCGGGGCAGGCACAAGGGAGGATGTTGGCGGTGAGCGCCCGCCTCAGGCTCCGAGCGGGGACCTTTCCGTTGGCCTTGCCCTTGGCCCTCTCTCGCGGGGTTGGGGCTCGGGCGGCCAGCGGCGAGGGCCCCTCCTACACCCAGGGCCAGAGCCCCGAGCCGAAGACACGCGAGTATTTCTACTACATTAACCATCAAGGCCAGGTGAGCGGGCGAAGGAGGGGAGAGGGGAGAAAGGGAGAGAGGGGGGAAAGAGGAAAGGGGATGGTGGCGAAGTGGGAGGGAAAGAGGGAGGAGCTAAGGGGGAGGGGCCGGGCCAGGTGCCGCGAGCCGCGCGCGCACGCGCGCGTGGGGGGGTGTCTGTGTCTGTCTGTCAGTCGGTATGTACACACACTTGCAAGACACCCATTCCCGTGTGTCCTGGAGGGAATTAGTTACACAGATGTATGTATTACAGCCCCCTGCAGATGCACGTAAACCAGTTGCTCATACAGTTCAGTTTAACCCACGCTTATCAAGCACCTGAGACCTGTGCTTACCAAGTGCCTTCTCTGTCTGCAAGGTTGTCGCTGGCAGGGTCAGTCCTCCAGAATATGACAGGGCCTCCTCAAGGAGACCCATGAGAAAGAGATCAGCCTAACAACCTATCTAGAATCAGCAAATGGTAATAAAATGACTGTTGTTCAGACTATGACCTGCAGTTAGCACTGAATTAGCCCATCATTCCATATATCTTGGACAGGTGCTACAGAGCTAGATCCAGAATTGCATACTAGTATGAGAATGGATTGAATTGCATTTGGGAAATTGCATATGGAGCTTGTAATGGTTTCAAGTTGCTTCTTCCCACACATAAAACCATCTTTTTAACACCAGGGTTCTCCGTATGACTGAGAATCCAGGAACACCAAAATTTCTGAAGAATCAAAGAGCAATGAGATTAATTGACATAGAGTAGCATATGACACATGTAAGTAGGCTTCAGAATATTCCCAACAGGATCTATGTACAAGAAATAGTGTGAAGGGATGACATCCAAGAAAAGGGAAATGTCATCAGCAAAAGGAGATAGGATAATCATGTTGCAATAATGAGAGATAACACACAGTACCCATAAAATCTCAAAAGATCTATAGGATGGCTCCCCAATGAAGGATCTCTCAGTATACACACATACACACACACACACACACACACAAAATGTGTGGATGAGAAGGTGCAGATATGTTATAATCTGCATCAGGGGACAGAAACCACATCACGTGATCATGGAACTCCTTGAAATATTCTGATAGGCACTGGAGATGCAAAGATAAAAATGCTATCCTGCCTCCATGGGGCATGAGCAGCAAGGCCTGAAAAGGCAATAAAATAGTATTGCAAAAACCGAGAGGATACAGGAACATTTACACACAAATACTGGGACATGCATATGTGCTTGGCTAAATCATGCTCATGCATGCACAGTGCACACCCTCCTGGATCACCACCACCCTGTCTCCCTAGGATGGGGGTGTCCAGCTCTTATCCCTCTCTTTGTTTTTCTCCCCTGGTCATGCCCTGCAGCTTTTCCTGGATGATGCTAAAGTGAAGAATTTTATCACCTGCTTCAAAGGTACTACCTAGCTGCTCCCAGCCCTCCCTGAGCCCAAGCTTATCCATCAGGACACTGAGACCCAACTAGCCCATAAATGAGCCCAGGTCCCTTCTGGGGACTCCTGCTCCCTACCCTGCTCCTTTTCTCCTGATGAGTAGTGAGCTCCCCAACTATCAGCATTAATAAATGCTAGACCTAGTCTTCTCAGGGTCTCTTCCAAGGGAGATGAATCTCAGGAAACTTGCCTCCCTCATTCTCCCCACCCTAGTGTCTGCCTGAAATGGGAGAATTAATTACATTGGCTACCTGAGAGCATCCCCTGCCTGAGGAGGAATTGTACAGGGAAAGGACCATGCATGACTGACCATGATAGGTTTTAGAGCTTTAAGGAACGTTGGCTGATGTAGTCCAAATACCTCATTTTACAGAGGAGAAAATTGAGGTTCTGAAGGGTTACAGGATTCAAATCCAGGTCCTCTAACATCCAGATTTCCTCTATAGCACACAGGCTGTCCTTTGGGCAGCACAGGCTTTAGTAATAATAGTGGTCTCTCCCAGTATCCAAAAGCCTTCCTGACTCTTTTTCCCCAGTCTCCTTGTTCCTCCCTTTCCTCCATCTCTATCCCACCCCCAAGACTCAGCCATATGGTCTCAGATGTGTCTCTTCCCCACCCTGGGCTTTAGTTTCAAGAAACGTAAGATAAGGGGGTAGGACTAGATCATCTTCAAACTCCAGTATTCTTTGATTTTGTGACTCTTTTTGCCATTTGGGGGCTTTCTAATCCCTACATCCTCTACCCTGCAGACCGGCAGTTCCTGGTCTTCTTCTTCTCCCGCCTGAGGAAGAACCAAAGTGGTCGATATGAAGATACTTTTCCCTTTGTCTCAGTTTGTGGCCGTGAACGCAACTTTGTACGCTGTGATGACCTGCCTGTGGTGTTCACACATCTGCTGGCAGATGGCCTAGGGCCAGCTCGCCTCTCCTATAGTGGAGGGGGTGAGGCCCTGGTTGTACCTTTTGAACCTGCTCGACTGCTGCCCCTCCTCTCCAACGGACGACTCTATCATCCGGCGCCCAAACTGACTGGTGGTGTGGGGCTGATCTGCTCTTCCCTGGCCTTTGAGCTCAGCACCTGCTTCCAGTATCCACCAGGAGGGGCCGTACTGCCCACCCATATCTTGTGGCAAGGCCAGAAATACCCTCTAACCATGGACCTTGCATCCCTATTTCCTGAATCCTGTGAGCCCTGAATCATTGTCCCCCTTTCTTCACCTGTTGTCTGCCTTTGCTTGCTCTGCCCCAGGGATGTGGACATCAAGAAGATGTCGATTCAAACTATAGCAGATAGTAACCCTCGGGATATGACCCTCCTTAAGGCCTGGAGGTTGGTGGTGCTGGGAAGGACAGTGAGAGGAGAGCCTTAGCAAAGATAGGTTCTGGAGCTCAAGGTTCCTTAACAAGGATTAAGAGAGAGAGACCTTCTTATGATATGCTTACTGCCTTTTTGTGACTGAGGCTGGTAAAGTTCACTAATAAACAAGGGAAAGGGGGCAGGGTAGAGTAGAAGAGTTAGAACAAGGGAATTCTCCCAACATTAGGGATTGTGGAATGGCATTGGGGAGTTGTGGGATATAAGGATGAAGAGTCCTGCTGCTGCTGCACTATGCCAGGGAACCAAGAGAAGGATTGAATGGCAGGGCCTTAAAGGAAAGTGCCTTCTTCCCCACCTGTCCTCATGTGATCACCTTAGGCCTCTCCCACAGCTTCCTGAGGGTGGTGGCGGCTCAGGCTCCACACTTTGGACACTTGAATTCTGTCTAATCAAGAAACATTGTGACTACTACATGCTAAGTCCTGTTCTGAGCACTAAAGATGCAAACATTGAAAAGAATGACAGCTTTGTTGTCATGGAGCTTACAATCAACATTAAGTCTCTCCTGATTACCCCAATGCCCTCCCTCCTTCCCCAAAACACTGATTGCTGTGCCAGGCATTTTTGTCAGGTGCTAGGGATGCAAAGACAATACTGCCCTCAAGGAGCAGTGGAAAAGACATGTATATACATATGTAAATATAGTCAGAATACATATGAAATAAATGCAAAGTAGTTTTGGGAGGAATGGTTGTGTGAGTAGAAGGAAGATATCGTATCCAAGATATGTTGTGGAGCTAGAAATTAAAAGATTTGGCAGCCAATTGAGTACGTAGCTTGAGGTTGCATACCTCAGTAATTGGAAGAATGGTTGGTGCCATTGATAGAAGTCAGAAATGAGGAAAAGGAATGGAGAGACTAGGGCTGGATATATCTTTGTAGAGATGATACTTTCTTTTTTTTCTTTTCCTGAAGCAATCAGGGTTAAGTGACTTGCCCAGTGTCACACAGCTAGTGAGTATCATGGGTCTGAGGTCACATTTGAACTCAGTTTCTCCTGACTCCAAGGCTGGAGCTCTATCCACTGTGCCACCTAGCTGCCCCGAGATAATACTTGAACCCATGAACCTAATATAATAGCATCTACATAGTACTTTGAAGTTTTGCATATATTATCTCATTTGATCGGATGAGGACACCAAGTGAAAGCATAGAGAGAAAAGAGAAGGCCCAGGACAGTTATGTGGTACATCCACAGTGGCTTTGACATAAATGATGATTGTCCAGCAAAGACTGAAAAAGAGTTGTTAGGCAGGAGAACCAGGAGAGGGCACTGTCCCAAAAACCCAGAGAGAAGAGAGTATCCATGAAGAAGAGATAAGTAGTCAACTGTCAAATGTAACAAAGGTCGATAAAAGGTGAGGATTAAGAGGAGACTCTTAGGTTTGACTCTGGTTTAAGAAAGTATGGTAACTTTGGAGAACAGTTTTAATTGTGTTATGGTTTAGAAGAGACAGGAGAAGAAATTGAGGAAACAAATTATGGTATTTTTGAAGAGTTTGGTTAAGAAAAGGAGAGGAGTGCAGCAGGGATGGTGGGATCTAGTGAGGGATTTTTGAGAATGGGGACTGGGTTTATTTATAAATTTTTATAAATATTTATAAATAAGGAACTAATAGGGAGTGATCGAAGATGGGGGAGATGAAAGTGGGGGGCAATTTTCTGAAGAAAACAGGAAGGAATGGTGTCAATGGTACCTGTAGAAGTGTTGGTCTTAATATGAAAAAGGACCAGCTCTTCATCAGAGATTGAAGTAAAGCAAGAAATATCAGCAGGTGATGCCAAGTGGTTGTGAGAATAGGGTGCTTGAGACAAACAGCTGTTTTTTTAGAAGGGAAGGAGTGTAAATTCTAAGGTGAAGACTTCAGCTGAGAAGGTGGAGGAATGATATGGTATGGGAAATGAGGGAAATAGATAAGAGGTTTAGGACACTTGTTATGGAGAGTGGGGTAGTGAATTGGGCAGGAGTGATAGTTTGCCTTGTTATGTATGAGATCAGTTGAGATTAAATAACAAAAGTTGTCTATGATGGAAGTAATCCACAGTTGGGGTTTATCTGGGTGTGTGACAGGATTTGAGAATTTAGCTGGTTGTATACATACCTAAGCCCAGAGCTAGTCTAGCAGAACCTCATTCACCCATATGCATATCAATTGAAATCAATATCAATATAGCTCCTTTCAGGGCTGTGAGTTCTATCAGAATATACACATGCATATCCCTCTGTACACTTTCTATCAGCATATGAGAACAACAGCTCTTGCTTATTTAGCATTTTCCTCACAATCAATAAGCCCTGGTGGGAGGAAGTACAAATATTAGTTGCTCCAGTATTTCAAGGACCTATTCACTAATGCTTGTTTAATTAATGAGAGATTTTTGGGGAGAGAACTATGGCTATTGGAATATTCAGACTGCTAGAGTCAATCATCTGGTTGGTCCTATCACCGATAGAGATTACATTCATTTCTACTTCTCAGTAAATGGTTCTTCATAAGTTGCCAAGATCAAAAACTTCATCCCTCAGTGGCCAACTATCTAATGAACTTCAGCACACAGACTGGTGCTCAAAGAGCAGGCACGTAGTTCATCACCACAACTCTACACAGAGTCTTTCTAGCTTAGCAAAACTTTCCAGAATTTGTACACCTCTTTCAGTCTGAGAATCTGGTCACCTTCATGCCATGAGGAGTCATAGGAAGAGGGCTTTAATGGAAGTGTGAAAATATTTTCCTCATTTTACAGATGAGGAAATGAAGAATCTCAGAGGAAAGTAACTTACAGCCTTATAACTCGTAAGGGCTTGACTCCCAAGTCCATTGTTCTTTTCACCACACCAGAGTGCCTCTTAAAATACTAATTTATATAGCACTTTACAGTTTACAAAGCACTAGTTTAGTGGGGGGAAAGCCTCAGAAACAGAGGTAGAACCCCATACAGAAGGACAAGAAGATGGTACAATTTCTTTTTCAATCCAGCAAACTAAATATCTGCTAGGGGCAAGACTAGGTGCTAGGGATACGAATATGAAAACCAGCTCATGGCTTTGTAGACCTTACAATCAACTGATGTGTGTATATTACCAAGGAAACCCAGCAAGAAGAAATAAATTCCATTTAAGATAACTACTGGGAGTCTACCTACCAAGACACATAAAAACTATATAAATACAATTACAAAGTACTATTTGTAGAAATAAATAGTAAATAATTGGAGAAATATTAATTGTTCATGAGTAGTTATAATAAAAATGATAATACCTAAATTAATTTACTTAATGCCATCAATCAAGCTGTCAAAGGCTACTTCATTATAGAGCTAGGAAAAAATCAACAGAATTTCAAGGGAAGTTATGGAAGAAAAGAAAGTGGGAAGGAAGCTAGCTGTACCAGATCCCAAAATATACTATACACCAATAATCCTCAAAATGATTTGGTATTCACTAACAAATTAATCAGTGAAGGTGATTAGATTCACAAGAAAGGGAAGCAAATGAATGCAGTCCATAGGGTTTCATAAACCTAAGGACCCCCCAATTACTGAGCCAAGGGTTCATTATTCAACAAAAAACTGCTGGAAAAACTGAAGTACAGTCTGGCAGGAACTAAGATAGACCAACATTTCACAAGATAAGCTCAAAATGGGTATGTGACTTAGACATAAAGGGCGACATAAATTAGTGGAGCAAGGATCTATGAATAGGAAGTTAACTGACCAAACAAGGGGTAGAAAGGATTGGAGAAAATAAGATTGACAGTTAAGAAGTTTTTGTGCAACCCTATTGCACCCAAAATTAAAAAGGAAGCAGGTAACTGGGGTGAAGCTATGAAATAGCTTAACTACTTTAGAAAGCAATTTGCAACTATGCTTGAAAAGTCACTAAACCGAATACCCCTTGACCCAGAAATACCAGTACTAGGTCCAATACCCCAAAGAGATCAAAGAAAGAAGAAAAGGACCTTTGTGTTCAAAAAACTTAGTAGTTCTTTTTGTAGTGGCAACTGGAGACTAAGGGGGTGCCCATCAATTGAGAAATGGCTCAATAAATTATGGTATATGAATGTGATAGAATTGCACAAAAAGAAATTATGAAAGGGATAATAGTTTCAGTGAAACCTAGGACAACTTGTATGATCTGATGCAGAGTGAGCAGAATGAACAGTTTACACAATAACTGTAAAATGAAACAACTTTGAAAGATTTAAGAACTCTAGTCAATGCAATGACCAGCCATTATTCCAAAGCTTGCTACCAATCTCCTGACTGAGAGGTAATGGACTCGGGATACAGAATGAGACAGGTTTTTTGTTGTTTTTTTTTAAATGTGGTCAATGTGGGAATTTTTTTTTTACTGAATAGTAATCACAAGGGTTCTTTTTTCTAATGGGAGGAAGAAGTGGGAAAGATAGATTTTTTGTTAACAGAAAAAAGTAAATTGTATTTTGAACATCTGCTGATTCAGTAGAAAGAGGACTGGATGTGAAATCAGAAGATCTGGTTTCAAATCCTGGCTCTGTTATTTCCTGTCTCTGTGACATTGGACAAGTTATTCAACCTCTTTGGGTCTGAGTTTCCAATCTTTAAAATAAAAAAGTTAGACCTAATAATCTCCAAGGTGTCTTCCAGCTCTAAATCTATATTCCTATGACCTGGATTCTAGTCTCAGTTCTGTCACTAACTATATGACCTTGGGGCAAGTGACTTGCCATCTCTAAGCCTCAGTTCCCTCATCTGTAAAATGTGAAAAAATAATATTTGTTCTACTTGCTTTTATTCTTCACAACAATCTTTGCAGGAGACAGTGTATGCATTATGAGCACATTTGTATCCTTATTTTTGTATCTGCACATCTGTGTAAATGCATGTATCCAAACATGTATACACTGCTTTATGTAGCCGCGTAAGTGTTTTTCTACATATCTTTTACATTAGTTGGATCTGCACATCTATGGAGGTAGCCTGTGCATGTTTCCTCTCTTTTTCCTCCTCCCTCTGAATTTCTTGTCAAGCTTTGGCAGTGAGATCTACAGAGAAGGGAGGCCCCAAAAATCCAAGGCCCATCGGTCCCTTTCCCTTAGACACTCGTTTCTCCCCAACACTCAATTCAACTTCACATACTTTAGTAGTGGTTGTCAC